CTGCTCCTATAAACATTCCATCAGCGTTCTGTCTATCTTGATGGCCTGAAAGAGGGGCAGTGTGTTCCATTGGCTTTGGTTCTCAGAGCTGACTGAGGCTTGTGGCCTGGGAGGCAGGATAGTAAGGTGAGTCTTATCTACAACTAGTCTATGGCACAATGATTGGACAGGGAAGCAGCATGTTCAAAAGGGTGTGTTCCCTGCATTTAAATGCATTGTGACATAGTTTGAAGATTCAGCCTCAAAGTAGGAGGAGGTGACAGTTTCATATTTAGGGACAGTCAGCATCTGTTTTTCCTTTTGGAGTCTGGAACCATTGTAAATTCTTGAAAGAAGAGAATTGAGTTGGACTTGATATTGAGGAGAGTGTGAAGGTAAGAACAATTTAGTTAAGAAAATTCTTTCAAGACAGTTCAAATTAGGGAAAATGCTGGTGTGGAAAAATGGAGAATCAAGTAATTTTAAAGCTGCATGTGCCTATATACACTTTACTGTGACTGAAGCAAAGTGTAAAATGAAGTTCAAGTTTGTTTATCATGACAATGGGTCTTAAAATATGAGTCACCGATTAAGAGTTAGGTATACTTTAGGGGGGTAGTGGCTTAATATGAAATTCTAATTTAAGTTTTTTCTTATTATAGTGTTTATCTTATATTGAAGTATCTATTTGATCGAGAGTCTACCAAAAAATTGTTGATCTCTTTCTCTGGACTGTTTTGAGTTATCTCCTCTTTTTGTATATAGGCCTGGTCTGTGGTTTGTGTGGCTATAACACCTGGGAATTAACACCTAACATTTGATTTAGATCTTGGAATTTGCCCAATATTATATCTCTAAGTGCTAGAGTTTAAAATCTTTCTCTTTTAAGTAGGGAGTGTGTGTGTGTGTGTGTGTGTGTGTGTGTATGTGTGTGTGTGTGTGTGTGTGAGAGAGAGAGAGAGAGAGAGAGAGAGAGAGAGAGAGAGAGAGAGAAGGGAGGGAGAGAGAGAGAGAGGGAGGAATGAAGTGGGACATGGGTGGTCAGCAAAGGGGCCAATGAGGATATTAGGAATTTTTTTCTTGTCTTCATTCCAGAGGATAATGTTTGGTATTATAGGAGGGACAGGTTTCTTTTGATGGGGGAGGAGTATGATTCTTAGGATGAGCCACATCTAGAGGCTCATCATATTAAGCCACTATCCCCAAAAAAGTATATCTAAGTCTTAATCAGTGACTCATATTTTAAGACACATTGTCATGAAAAACAAACTTGAACTTCATTTTACACTTTGCTTCAGTCACAGTAGTGACTKAATGAATCTTTCGGGTGGAATCAGACAGGAAGGATCCTGAAGAAATTCCTTTCTGTTTCCTACCCTTACTGTTTTCCCCAGGGTTTCTGCTGGCTACTTGGCAGATTTGGGTAAATAAATTGTGTTTTTTTTTTCCCCCAAAGAGAATGTGCCTACAGTGGATTTAGATTTTGTCAAACTCTCCTACTGTACTTAATTTTTACAAGGACTAAGATGGACTTGTAGTTGATAGTAAACAAGGGACAAGATTGATGGGCAGTGGTTTCTAAAAGATAAGAGTGAAGTGATGTTTGAGGATGTGGGCATTTTTTTCTTTCTACAATGAATGTGAAGTAAAATGAATGCCATTTTCATTGCCAGGAATAACTGGATCTGTGTTGGATCCCTTAGCCARGTGAATATAGCAAACCTGTTGGGACTTTTGACTTTGAGTCTTTTAAACATAGAAAGATTGGGACCACCATATTGTTTCAGTTTAAAAGGCCTAAGATACAAAATTCTATAACTAAAGTAGGAAGGACTCATTTTTTTGCCCCATCTGAATCACTTCACAGCTTTCTTTAAAAACTGTCAGCCACTTCCCACGGCCTCCTTGTCACATTCCAGTGGGCGTGCTGACAGATGTTGGTCCTTTCAGTCTGTGGGGCAGCAGACATCTTAGATGGTCATGGAGTTGGGTACGGAGGTCTATTTGGCATGGAGCTGCACATTCATCAAGAGTCCTGGTTTCCTGCTTTCTATGACATAGGTGGCATGTTTTACTTGTATGTTCAAAATATTTACAAAGTAATTCTAAACATTTAAAGGCAACAATTTTTATAACCCTGTTTGGCATTTTCCTTCATTTTTTAATATACTGGGGAGCCTCAGGGGGAAAAATGTGATTCAGTCATCTGACTTCACAGGGTCCCCAATTATTGGTTATACAGACTCTCATAATACGGTCAAAGAGGCTAATGAGGGGGGACTGATCTTCTATAACTAATCACACAAAGAATCCATTAAAGTCAGAGCTGGTTTCCCGAGAAGGTATACCAGGGCCCACTCTGTTTGGGCCATTGGAGAGGATTTCCTTGAACATATGAGAAGTCGGCTGAGTTTGGGGCAAGGAAGAATTAAAGTTAGGCCAAGGTAATACGTCTCATGATTAATTAGTTTTTAGGGAAATAGACTGACTCTGGGAAGACTTTCATATTTTGGTTTTGGKTAACTGCATGGAAGGCAGTGTTTTTTTTTTTAGTTGTAGTTGGACATTTATTTATTTATATGTGGTGCTCGCACATGGTACACGAGTGCTCTTCCACTGAGCCACAACCTCAGCTCCGGAAACAGTGTTAACCAAAAGAAGTAACTGGCCGAAAGTTCCTTTCTCGCARTGGGTGGGTAGATAAGACGATTAGTTCAATCTGGAGTATGCTGAGTATGAGATGGCCTTTGGGACATCAGAGTAGAGATGTCGTGTAAATAATTGATCTTGTATTATAAGAACAGAGTTACTCTTGTTCATTTAGAACTTTATAGTATCCAACACTATCCAGGTCCAATGGGAACTAGAAAGAATAGATTTATAGTCCCTGCTTTCAATGAGTTTATTCTCTAATTACAGTACAGAAGATCACTATAGAATAGCCAAGTAACTCTCTAAGGCAATAGCAGATGAAATGTTATAGGCAGCACATGAATCAATGTCAGAGAAATGTTGGGAAGCCTCTTGCTTTTTCTGTATTAGTGCCCAAATAGATTTGTTCATTTTGTATTTCCTTTGTTTTACTCTAGTAGTTTGAGGTGGGCTGAGGATAGCACAAGCTTATTTGTTAGTTTTGGATTTAATTTGCTTTGGAGTAGCTCATTTTAATTTTATGAGGTGGGTTCAGCTATTTGTCCCATTTAACAGAAAAAGAAACTGAGGCACTAAAAAGGTTAAGTAATTTGACAAAAAACTATGTATCTCATAAATGATAGTTCATATTTGAATTTACTCAGTCTGAATCTAAAACCTCTGCCCCTCATTTTTTTATACTATTCTTTTTATACTATCCTTTTTATCACCCATCATTTAAGTTATTTGAAAATGGTATTTTAAGAACTGAATAGTTATTTAATTTTTATGCTAATTTTTGACATTTATGTTGTTCTAATTTGGTTGTTGTAGTTCCAAGTGTATCTGTAGGCTAAATTCCTACAAGTGTTTCCTGTACTAAGGAAAATGTTTAAAGCTCTTCAATCATTTAAAATTTTATTCCAGAAAAGTTAAAGGACATTTTTCAATTTGCAGGGAAATAGTTTTCAGCCTCATATGGTTGCCTAGACTAAAACAAACGGTGCATTCTGTAATACTATGATAAAATGGTAGTTAGGATAATGAATCAGAAACTGTTAGAGCAGGAACTCCAAATATCGTTATGGTCTTCCTCCTTCGTTTATTAAGAACTAAGGCTCAGGGAAGTTAAGTAACTTGCCTCAAACCACAACAAAAGTGTCAGAACAAAAATCTGTTCTTACCACTGTGTGGTGTATAGAGTCTGACTCTTAGATGATTCAAGAGTGCACTGCAATGACCAACTGGGGTCTTGGTTGGAGATTTGAGATTTGTAGTATAAGGATCAGATTCATGGTTTCCCTCAAAGCTTCCCGTTATGTTCGAGGATTGTGGAAATGACCCAAGGAGTTATCTCTTCATGATTCTGTTGATAGTATAATATGTTTTTTAAACAAAGGACTGCTTTCATAATTAAAAATGCACAAAATTCAAGACTGGTTTTCTATAGTACTAATCAAATACAGAGACTACTTCTGTTTATCAGTCAGAGGTGATTACAATGTGAAAATACTATAAACAAAATTCAGTATACATCTGGCCAGGCAGAGCTAAGCTGTTTAAAAATAAACCTCAAAATTTCAATAGCTTATGCACAGGTAGAACATTGCTTTTTGCAAAATCTGGAGGAGGTTGGTTGCCAGTCCTCTCTGTTGTACAAATGCCATGCCCAGGTGCAAAGGCAAGAGTAGAGAAAGAGAAATCACATGCACTTTACCGACACAGCCTATAAGTGATGTGCACCAATTCCACCCTCAGGAGCCAGAACTAAAACCATGGTTCCAATCCAACTGGTGGAGAGGCTGAGAAAGTGTGGGGAGGAGCATTAGCAATCTCTAATAGACATTGGTGGTCTCCTTCACACACTGGATTCTTGATATTTTGAAACCTTGAATCTTCAAAAAAAWTTGTTGGTAGTTTCATATCATTTCAAATTTTAAACAAAAAGATCATAGTTTCATATTACTTTCCTTTAAATAAGCTTAAAGGGCGACTGTATGATGAAGTTCATACTAACTTTTTAAGAAATCCTTTTGAACTCTGTTAAAAACAACAAAACATTTGCTTAATAGTTGTGAGATCTGGGTAAGTCATTTAACTTCTCTAAACCTGTATCTCAACTGAAAATGGTATGATTCCTCATTCGTGAGTATGTCTCAAAAAGTAAGTTTGAGATGGCATGTAAAATACTTAACATRGTGTCTAAGATGCATGATAACTGTTCCGTGAATTCAGACATTGGTTTTCTTTTATTGGTATTGCTGTCATTGTAGTGGCTCTACTATGCACCCATGATCATCAGAAGTCAGTATACTCAATGGGGACAAAAGATGTTTTGGCCAGGTTCCAGAAATGAAATGTCTGTCTTCTGGATGTTCTTATCTTTGTAGGTCATGGGGAGTTTCAGAGGTCATGCCCTCCCTGGAACCTTCTTCTTTGTCATGGGCCTTTGGTGGAGTACAAAGACTCTTCTGAAGTATGTCTGCAAAAAGCACAAACGGACCTGCTACCTTAGTTCCAAAGCATTATTCCATCGAGTAGAAATTTTGGAGGGAGTTGTAATAGTTGCCATGGCTTTTACTGGTGAGTGGACCATTTCTGTTTTATTTTCTCCTTCTGAGTATTTTCATATGCAAAGAGAAGCAAAATTACGAAATCGCTAAAATGAATTTGTATTTAAAAATCTCAATACATATTCTGATTATAGTGTCTATCTTATATAATTTGTTAGATAGGTAATACTTCATGTTCACACAAAGCCCTAGTCCTTAATGAATTAGCCTTAGTAGTTAATTTTCTTACCCGGTCAAGGTGAATTGCCCTTATAGAATGGATTGGAGCCTCTGAAATAATTGTTATGAATTGTTCAGATTCTTGAAAAAAAAACAAACCCTAACAGGAATGATACCAAATAATACCAAACCCTAACAAATGATACCAAAATAATCAAGTGATCATGGGAAATTTTCAGTAATAAATTGTTGCCAATAGGCTGTAGAAAGGGGTCAGGGTTGAGGAAGACCTTGCTTCACACATTCATCCTTTTTTCTGTTTTTCTGAATTGGAGAAGGTTAAGGCAGGTAGCTTCTTAAGGACCTCCCATTGTCTTTGAGGATTCTGTGAAGCATTCTATGTTTCTAGAGTTCCACTGCAGTCTCTCCTCTGTAAAAGGTAAAGCCTCCCATTTTCCCATTAGATTTTTTTCATGATTTATTCATGACACCAGGTATTTGCTATGGCCATCAAATTGAAGTGCAACTATTTCCAAAGAGATTAACAAATAAAGCAGCATCACTGAGAAAGTTAAACTTACACATAACTAACTTAGGTCATACTCTCTGTCTTGGCCTTCTCAGTTATCCTTAATTAGGAGAAAAGCTGAATTCTTTAGCATTTTTACTGGGAATCAAGGACAACTCCCTACTTTGTGGCAACTACTCAAAGATTCAGTATCCAGGAAGGAAGTAATTAGCCTTTATAATATTGGYCTTGAAAATATAAACTCCCAAATCATTCAGGATTTACTTTAGTCATTAGATTGGAATAGGTAGTTGAACTAAAATCATCAGCATGGAATATATGAAATAGCTGTTTGATTCATATGGCTTTCTTTTATGAAAAGTGGTCCAAATCAGCATTTGAACCTGTAAAATAAGGGTAAAGCATCAGTGCTAGGCTGTTAGGAAATAGCTCCAAGAGAAGAATTAATGATGTAAGGAAGTCAGTAGATTGGAATAGTCATTGCACACGTCCTCTTGCCTCTTCATGCCTGCTGGGGAAAATTATGGAGAGGGTTGCTAAAACTGCTATGTTTCTCTACAGGCATGGCTGGGGAACAATTTATTCCTGGAGGGCCCTACCTGACCTTATATAAAGAAGGCCAGTGGAACCAACTCCTCGGCTGGCATCACTTCACAATGTATTTCTTTTTTGGGATGCTTGGTGTGGCTAACATCTTATGTTTCACCATCGGTTCACTTCCAGTCTCCTTAACCAAGTTAATGTTGTCAAATGCCTTATTTGTGGAGGGTAAGTATGGGTGGTTATTTTCCTGTCCTTTTCTCTGTTAGTGGGTGTTTGTGTGACCCTTTATAAYGATGTATCTTTGCTATCTTGTTGCAGCTGTGATTGGGGGAGCTGTAATGGGATATTTGATGTGTCCTAGGTAGGGTGCCAGAGACCTTCCCTCCTGACCCTGTTTAGTAGAATTGGGCAAGCACAGTCGTTCAAGTGTGCTTTATTCACATATCACATCTGTCTTAAAAGAATCACCTGTAATGATTCCTTACAGGTTGTCCTGTAGATCTTAATTTCCACTGAATTCTGAAAACTGAATTCAGAGTCATGGTATATGAATATCCCAAAATAGGTCAATCACTCAAAGCAGAAAGGCTTCCACTGTGTACTAAYCAGCTTTTAAAATACTGGTAAAGTAAACTTCTGCTCTAATATGATAAGTAGAGTTGAAAAAATTCAGTAACATAAAAATTTGAGGTCCTAATTTTGAGAGGTTCGTGAAAAATGATAGGCTTTGTTCAATTGTTTTCCTGTTTGTGTGAGAGGGGGTGGGGGGAGTAAAAGCAAGTGGTTACTGATTTATTTTCTTTTATTACATATAAAAGAAATAGATTGATTATGGAACTACAAAAGCCCCAAATGCCTCCCTTTCCTCCCACATCTGAAGATAAGAACTTCTGCCCAATCCTCTGAGAATAGAGCTAAATGAAAGATGGGTGCCAACAACCAGAAGCAGCGTGGTTCTTGTTCTCTCCAGGTGTTACTATGTTTTGAACGAACATCTTTTCCATTTTATCTAAAGTAAAATGATTAGGATGGAGCTGGAATCTGTCCATGGTATAAAAAGAAAATGCAGTTAGGGAAACTTGTCATACTTGGAAGGTCCACCCTTGTGACTTATGGAAGTGTTTCTTTCTTCCCTGAGCTGGTTGCTCAGAGCAAGGTGTCAGCTTCAGCCTGCTCTTCTCTGTAGTCACCTTAATTACAGCTCTCTGCCCTATCATATTTATTATTCATCATCTTGTATAGATGGTGATTTAAAATATAGTTAGTGGAGAATGTCATGGTGTGTTAGAAGACAGAGTAAAGGTTGGAGAAGGGAAAATATTAGATTCTGAGGAAGCAGCGATGACTCCAAAAATGCAAAAATGCATTCTGGTGAGCAGCAGTGGGGACATGATTTTTGGACAATTGTGTGTGTATAGAAACTTCTGTGGGCAGAGAGAGGGAGTGAGACAAGCAGTGGGCAGCATTTGGTTTCATTGACAAAGACAAACTGTTCCCCTCCCTCAATTAGCTTTCATCTTCTACAACCACACTCATGGCCGGGAAATGCTGGACATCTTTGTGCACCAGCTGCTGTTCTTGGCCATCTTTTTGACAGCCCTGGTGGCCTTCATGGAGTTCCTCATACGGAACAATGTACTTCTGGAGCTCCTGCGGTCAAGCCTCATCCTGCTACAGGGGAGCTGGTTCTGGCAGGTGAGTAGGGGTCTCCAGCTAATCTTCCCATCATCTCTACCTGTAGTTTCTGTTCTTATTTGATAGGGTAATTTGCTCTAGGCTCCAGAAATTTCCCTCCAGTGTGTTGTCTGTAGGGAGAATGTGGGCCTCTGAGAAGTGATGTTCTTCAAATACTCAGTGTCTCTGTTGGGGTCATTGTCAGAGCAACTGGGCAGGAATCTAGGTGTGTAATTCTTCCTCACACATCTGAATACGTGAGAACTCTGCGCTGATGCTGTTAGTCAGAAGCAGATCATGATGCTAAAACTACTTAAAGCCTAATGGGTAGTAAGCTTGAGAAATACATGGGAGGCAGGAAAGAGGAAACTAATATTTATTTACTGAGAAACAACTATATGTTGGCCATGGTGCTGGATTTTTATGCACACGTGATTTTATTCTGTCTTTACAACAATCTGGAAGTTAGGTATTATCATTTCTAATTTACTGACAGGAAGATTCAGAGAGACTAAGTTACTTTCTCAAGCTCACACTATAAAGGAGTGAGGATTTGAATCTGGATTTGTCTGACAACAACAAATACCAGGCTTTTTCCACTTTATGATATCAATTCCATAATCATGGTGTGTTGTCGAAAGTATAAATTCAGGTCAGTGGATATATATTTTGTAAAGTCTCATAAATCATTATCTGATACACAAATGTAGATGTAAAGAAAGTCTGGGATGGAAAAAGAATGTGGTTTAATTAGGGAAACCTTCTTAGAAGAGATGTTTAGTTACCAGAGAGCAGAAGACTTGGCATGATGAAGTTATTTCAGAYATTTGTATGTCATATGACAAATAATAAGACAGCACTGGGAGGTGAGGAAAGGAGAATTATGATGGTCAAAACAGGGTAGGAAAGATGTGGCATTTCAACATGTCATGGAGGGGCTGGGGCTGTAGCTCAGTGGTAAAGTGCCTACCTAACATGTGTGAGGCACTAGGTTCATGCCTCAGCACCATATTAAAATAAATAAATAAATAAAATAAAGGTATTGAGTGCATTTACAACTAAAAAAAAATTAAAAATAAATAAATATGTCAGGGAGTAGAAAGGCTGTTGTTGGATCAAGGAAGGGATACATTAAAGGGTCATTTTGAAAAAGTATTACAGAAAAAAAAGACAAATACCCTGTAATGTGATGAAGGTGATAACTGGTAATTTAACCAGCTTTATACAGAAGTTATGTGTTAGATTATTTAAGAACTAAGGCTGTTAAATATAAGCTGTGTATTATTTTTCTAGTGGGAACACTCATTGAATAAATAGAATGTTATGTAAAACATTTTTTAATAAGATAACTTCTGCTTAAGAAGACACAATGAGTTTATGACCCAGCTTATCTTGTCTGCTCCAGACATATAACAATGACAGATAAAATATTTTGAAATCCTAAAAAATAAAAAGGAAAAGAAAATTTTAAAAAGAAAGAAAAATAAATAAGAAAGTAAAAAAACATTAGACTACACTTAAGCAAAACAAACACAGGAAAAGAATCTTGGGGGCCAGATGCAGAACAGAAATGCATAGCAGAAATAGAGCTGAGCAACCGGCATGTTGGTTCTAGGATTCCAGAGCAGACAGTTATGAATTGTTGTTGTGGGATGGAACCAGACTCTTGGAACTCCTAAATTTTGTCATTTGTATATTTTATTTTTCTATTTTTTTCATCTGATTGATCCCTCACTGTCTTAGAAGTCCATTAAAGATATATATGATAATTACGATCTTGTCAATTTCTCATTTTTAGGTTTGCTTCCTTGTCAGGCTATTTTTTGCTTCTCTTTTTTTCAGTTGAATGATGAAATCCTCATTCATTCTCAATCTTTCTTGTTTTAAGATAAATACATTTAAGGCTATAAATTTCCCTCTTGATACTACYATAGCTTCCCTTTTGGGTTATTTTGAATGTTGCCATTTCCATTTACTTCCCTATTATGTTCCTTATGTGTACATTTGTGTGTGTGGTGCTGGGGATTGAATCCAGGACATTCATGCATAGTAAGCACATGCTGACCACTGAATTATACCTTTAGTCTGAGGAGTATACTTTTAAGTTTCCAAATGTATTCTTTTTCTTAATATTATTCATTTCTAATATAATTCCTCTRTGGTCAGATAACATGTTTTCTTTGAGTCATGTTGAGACTTTCTTTGGGATATAGCCTGATGTCAGTGGTTGTAAAAAAAACTCACTGTATTTGAAAAGAAAGTATATCATTTCTTTGTTGAGTTCGGATTCTACATTGTATTAATCAGCTTTCCTTTACTGTAACAAACTGAGCTGAAAACCTAAAAAGAGAAAAGGTTTATTTTGACCCATAGTTTCAGAAGTTGAAGTCCATGATCAGGTTTGTCCATGTGGGAAGGCAGCATATCATGGTGGGAACATGTGGGGGAGCAAAGCTACTCACTTCATGATTTGGAAATGAAAGAGAAAAAGAAGAAGAGACCAGAGTCCCATAATCTACATTGAATATATGCCTCACACCACAGTTCACATCCTAAAGGCTTCACACGTCCCAGTAGCTCCACCCTGGGAGCAAGTCTTTACCACTCAGACCTTTGGGGGACATTTAGGATCCAAATGTACACATATATTTACTAGATCAATTTTGTTAAAGAGCTTAATGTTCACATAAATATAGTAAGAACAAAAGGGAACTCCAAAGAGAGTTGAATTATAAAAATAAGAGTAGAACTAATAAGTGATTCATGAGGAGCATACAACTTCGTTTTGCTCTTATCTTTATAAGTTAACCACATCATGCAATTTCAGTTAATAATTAATGATTAATTAAGTCTGATGGAGGAAGATATACTACATCTCAACTGAAAATAAGTTGGCTTAATCTCCCCCTTTTGACAGAGAAATGTTTTCATATTTCTTCAAAAGCTTTTCTAAGGAAGAGCTTTGAGATTAAAAAGACTAGACAAAAATCTATGATTATTTGGAAATGTTTTCACCTACCAATATGTCTACACCAGTTTCCTGTTAGGCCTGGTGGCCAATCTGAATAATTCTGGAGCCTTAGAGAAAAGTGAAAACACACTGTGAAAAGGGAAAAATGAGATTCCAGTGTAAATACACACACACCAATAAAAATGTCGGTTTAGCCATAGTAACTCTCCCACTCTTAGATTCCTCTGAAACAAAAAATTTCCAGGATGTTTATGGCCAAGACTCTGTCTTAAGCTAACAATTTTATGTTGTGATTTTCTTTTCATCATATATTTCTTCTTACCACTTCTCCATGTGTGGCTAATACTAAGAATAAACTAGTATGCAATCAAGTGATTGCATAATATGCAAATGAGTGGGAATTTCCCTCCCAATCTGTGAAAACTGGTTTTCTTCCTGAACCAGTTTACATTCAAAATGTTTTCTCAATAACTTAACCACATTATGCAATTTCAAAAATAAAATCCTTCAGGTCCCTGCATTCCATGAGTCATGTTTTCCTCATGGCTCTGTATGGGAGAATATTTCAATAGCTCACCTTGTGCTTTGCCCCTCCCAATCTCCTTCTCATCCTCCTTAAGCCAAGGTACATGCAGAGGATGTGGAAACTGTCTCTGTTGTTGTCACTTCTTGTTAGTTTGGACAGTTGTTTCCTCCGTGTCTTCTTTAAGACAAAAACTCATTCTATAATGTCAAAAAGACCCAACTAAGCAGTAGCTGTCTGAGGTCTGATACTTCAGATCAAACACTTGTATAGGCTTATAGTGTTGAAATAAATGATTGGTTAAAAATATTTTTWAAAAAATAGGAAATTTACACTCAACTATAGAATGTTGGCCCCTGACTTATTRCTTAGTAGAGAAGATAGTTATTTATGGTTGAAATGTGATACTAACGAGCTTAAACTAATCAAAAACAGATGTTCAGGAGTGGCATACAAGATATAGCAAAAAAAAGTTGCAGGCAGTTTTTTTTCTTAGAATTTCAGGTTAGAAAGCAAATTAGGGCAGCAGATAAAAGTGCAGTGAGTTGAGGGCTGGGGCTGTAACTCAGTGGCAGAGCGCTCTCCTAGCATGTGTGAGGCTCTGGGGTTGATCCTCAGCACCGGATACAAAAATAAATAATAAAAATAAAGGCATGAGATGAAATCTTAGAGTGGTTTTGCTTTGCATTTCTCTAATTGCTAGTGATGATGAACATTTTTTCATAAATTTCTTGATTGATTATATATCATCTTCTGAGAAGTGTCTGTTCAGGTTCTTGGCCCATTTATTGATTGGGTTATTTGTTTTTTTGGTGTGCTTAGCTTTTTGAGTTCTTTTTAAAAAATATTTATTTCTTTTTTAGTTTTAGGTGGGCACAATATCTTTATTTTACATTTATGTGGTGCTGAGGATTGAACCCAGTGCCCCGCACATGCTAGGTGAGAGCTCTACCACTGAGCCACAAACCCAGCCCTTGAGTTCTTTATATACCCTAGAGATTAGTGGTTTATCTTATGTGTGAGGGGTAAAGATTTGCTCCCTTTCTGTAGGCTCTCTAGTCACCTCGAAGACTGTTTCTTTTGCTGAGAAGAAACTTTTTAGTTTGAGTCCATCCCATTTATTGATTCTTGATTTTAATTCTTGCGCCAAAGGAGTCTTATTAAGGAAGTTGGGGCATAATCCCACATGATGGAGATTAGGACCTAGTTTTTCTTCTATTAGATGCAGAGTCTCTGGTTTTAGTCCTAAGTCCTTGATCCATTTTGAGTCACTCCAGTCGGAATGACAGCCATTATGAAGACAAACAACAATAAGTGTTGGTGAGGATGTGGGGAAAAAGGTACATTCATACACTGCTGGTGGGACTGCAAATTGGTTCAGCCAATAGGGAAAGCAGTATGGAGATTTCTTGGAAAACTGGGAATAGAATAGACCCATCATTTGACCAAGCTATCCCTTTCCTCAGTCTATGCCCAAAGGACTTTAAAAAAGCATATTTCAGGGATACAGCCACCTCAATGTTTATAGCAGCACAATCCCCAATAGCTAAATTGTGGAACCAACCTAGATGCCCTTCAGTAGATTAATGAATTAAGGAAATGGGGCATATATACACAATGGAATATTACTCAGCAATAAAAGAGAATACAATCATGGTATTTGCAGGTAAATGGATGGCGTTAGAATAGATAATTCTAAGTGAAGTTAGCTAATCCCCAAAATCAAATGCTGGATGTTTTCTTTGATATAAGGAGGCTGATTCATAGTGGAGTTGGGGGGAGCATGGGAGGAATAGAGGAACTCTAGATAGGGCAGAGGGGTGGGAGGGAAAGAGAGAGGGGACATGGGGTTAGAAATGATGGTGGAATGTGATGGACATTATTATCCAAAGTACATGTATAAAGACACGAATTGGTGTAAATATATTTTGTATACAACCAGAGATATGAAAAATTGTGCTCTATATGTGAATAAGAATTGTAATGCATTCCACTGTCATATATAAATAAAAAATTAGTTAAAAAATAAAGGCATGATTCTGTCTACAACTACAAAAAAAATCTAAAAAAAATGTGCAGTGAGTGATTTTTGTATTTAAAAGAGTATCTAATGATTTTGTATTGGCAAATATTTTAAACTCACTTATCTTTAGTAACTTTTTGGAGCAGATTCTTAAGGATTTTTCTATATATAAGATCATATCATTTGTAAATATATATAGTTTTACTTCTTCCTTTCTAATGAGTATTTTTAATTTTCTTTGCATATTGTTCTGGCTAGAATTTCTAGTACAATGTTGAATAGAAGTGATGAAAGCTGACATCTGTGTGTTGTTCCTGGTCTTAAAGGGAAAACTTTCTTTCATCCTTAAGTATAATGTTATCCATGGGAATTTATTTCTTTTAAAACCTTTTTGGACTCTAATTCTGAAATAACAGAGTGAACTGTACAATGTACAAACCTAAGACATTTGGAAAGATCACCCATCCCCCGAGAGAATTATTATTCTTATTTTGAAAATTAATTAGTAAATGTACTTTTAATTTTTATTTCCAAAAATATGACTTGGTGGATACTGTTACTAAACAGGCAGCTGAGCTTGATTTTTTTTTTTCTGTGACAACTCAGTGAGTTATCTTAGTTAAGCATTTGGAAATGTACCTTTTTGAGAATATGGTTGGTTATTTTAATATGTGCAATTTTGTTTTAAATTGCAGATTGGTTTTGTCCTGTATCCCCCCAGTGGAGGTCCTGCATGGGATCTGGTGGATCATGACAACAGTATGTTTCTCACCATATGCTTTTGTTGGCATTATGCATTGGCCTATATCATCATTGGAGTGAATTATGCTTTTGTCACCTGGTAAGTTAGTGAATTTTGTTCATGGACGTTTCCTTTCTTGGTGTATTATCTGATGGTCAACACTTCACGGTGTTCAACTTAAAATTCAAAAGAAGATTTTATTCCGTACCATCCCATAAGACAGGGTAGCATAGCAAAAAATCATCAAACACAGAAATTGCCACTTAAAGAATACATATGTGCTGTTTTAAAGTTGGAATAGCTCAGTGGTGTCTCTGCTGTGCCACCGACAGCACTCTTCTGTGCTTACATATCTTTGCATATGCTGTTCCCTCTTCTGAATGGTGTAACCTCATCTGCAGTGAATCCTCCATTTAACCATGCTCACACACTTTAACTATAGCACCTTTTGTTAGTTTTTCATCTCTGTGACCAAAATAGCTGATACCAACAACTTAAAGGAGGAAAGATTTTTTTATAGCTCTAGACCTGGTCTTTGAGGAATTTTAGTCCTGTAGACTGCACTAAATTAGAGAGATGATGAAAATGCAGTGCAATGAACGGAAATAGAAGAATAAAGTGCTGTTAGAGCTCGGAGCAGGCTACTCACCATCAAAACTTAAGCTGAAGCTGGAAGATGAGCAGGAATTAAAAATAGTTGTCATGGCTCTTCTCTCCAAGGCAGCTGGTGCCAAGCCACAATTGACTTGGCTGATGCCAATTACCAGGCATGAAAGCTTCAGCACCTAATCTTTTGGACTTGAGCACTGATTAAAATGTTCTCTGCCTGCAGTGTTCTAAATCTAGCATTCAGTATGGTAGTCACTAGCTACTGGTCACATGAAAATGGGATTAGTGCCACATTAATTTTAGTTAATTCTGCCTGGGGTTGTGGCTCAGTGGCAGAGTGTTTGCCTTGCATGTGTGAGGCACTGGGTTTGATCCTCAGCACCACATATAAATAAATAAACATAAAGATATTGTGTGTGTGTGTAACTAAAAAATCTTAACTTTTTAAAATTAATTCAATTATCTATGTGGATAGTGGCTAACACATCTATCAGTTTCTCTAGATTCTTACTATCAGATTTAGCCTAGTGGCTGCTTGTAGGCTCAGTGGTGTCTCAGCCTGTGCTGGAACCAGTTTTCCACTCTCTCTAGACATGAATCCTAGGTAACCCCTCCTGCTCTGTGCTTCTTTGTGCTTTACTGCTGAAGCCACTCTGGCACTGTGGCTCTGAAGAAACTATCCCCTTGTCCAGCTCCCAGATGTCCCATAGGGTTTGGGTCAGACCACTTTGATCTGTACTTTCCTGGGTACTGTGTAATTCTGCTTTCTCAATCACCTAAATATGCGATGAGCTCTTTGTTAAGGCGGGCTCTGCCACCGAGTGAAACTTGACTTCTTCCTCTGTTGTTCTAGGCTGACATCTGGGCCTCATCTCCTTAGGGGCTGTGCAGCCTCCTGGAACAGTGCCAGAGTTCAAGGAAATTCTCTACCTCATGTCAGCTCCTCTCCAGAGCCAAAAGAAGACTACTGTCTCTTCCTGTTTCAAAAATCTTCAGACGCCTAATGAACTTCTTATTCCCTTGCTATTTTCTATAAACCAGAAACTATGTTCTTATTTTTCAACCTCTCCCTTCCCTCACCACATGCTGTTCTAATCTTTTTAAACAGACAGTTCCCTCTACCTGGCATATCCACATTAAATGCATATCTCTTTTATGGATGCTTCTGTGATTCCTCTAGCCCTTGCTTGTCTCCCTTTCCTAAGTTTTTTTTTTTTATATCAATTTATTCTCCACCAGACATTTTAAAAGTTGTGATCTATCTGGTGAAGTTGACTACCATGATGCTGATCAGTCAGCTCTCCATCACTGTGGCAGAATACCGGAAACAAACAACTTAACAGAAGAAAGATTTATTTCTGCTCAAGGTTTCAGAGATTTCAGTTCATGGGCAGCTGGCTTCATTGCTTTTAGGCCTGAGGTGAGACAGAACATCGTGATGGGGAGCATGATGAGGGAGCAAAGCTGCTAATCTCAGGGCAGCTAGGAAGCAAAGAGAGAGGAAGGGTCAATAGTCCCAATATACCCTTAAAGGGCACATCCCCAATAACCTACTTCCTCCAACTAGACCTGCCTCCTAAATGTTCTACCAATTCCCAATAGAGTACCATCAGCTGGGGAAAAGCTTTTGATATGAGCTTTTGGGAGACATTTAAGATCCAAATTAAAACATTTTTCTCCTGGGCCCCTAAGGTTCATGTCCATCTCACAATGCAATATACAGTCACAATATTGCAATATCCATCCATTGCAAGAGTCTTCAGAGTCTTAACAGTTCCAGTATTGCTCAAAGGTCTAAATCCGAAGTCTCCTCTGAGAAGCCAGGCAAACTCTTAGCTGTGAGTCCCTGTAAATGTCAAAATAAAGTTAGATATATCCAATATATCATGGTACAAAGTAAACATTTCCATTCCAAATAGGAGAAATAGAGACTAGAACAAAGGGATGAGACAAAATCAAGACTGAAACCCAAGAGGGCAAATATTAAATTCTGTAGTTCCATGTCCAGTATCTGGAGCACATGGTACCATGATGTGAGCTTCGAAAGACTTGGACAGTTGCACCCCTATGGCTTTAGTGGCTGCAGCCAACATGACACTATTGTGGGGTAGCTTTGCTTATTGCCTGCAGCCACCCTTGGCAGGTGCTTCACATTCCTGGCATCTCTAACATCCTGGGGTCTCCAATGCAGCTTCAGCTTCATGCTTAAACCTTCTCAGGGGATGCCTGTATGGATTCTAACTCACACTACCTATACTCCCAGGTCTTCTTTGAAATTTTGGTGGAATCCCACAGCTCTTTCTGCATGACTACAAAACCACCATCATATGGATGATGCCAAAGTCTTCTGCTGGCTCAAGCAGTAGCTAAGTCCACTTGGACCATAGCTGCAGTGTCCTCGAAATGCCCAGATGGCTGAGCACAGTAAAACAAATCCTGAGGAAACAACTTGCTGTTTGGCCCTGTGTACTCACGGGACCCAGATGCTCTCATTCAATGAAAGGCTTACACTTTAAAACCTTTGAACCTGCAAATGGTAGAGTCTCATTGATTCCTGAGGCGCTCTCAAGGCACCTTTCCTATTGTCTCAATGCAAAGTTTTTGGCTTCTTTTTGATGGTGTAAATCTCTTTAGCAACTACACCCTCCTTGACCACAACTTTACATACACTACTTTTCTGGCAAATTGCAAATTTTTCAAAACTTTCTGTTCAGCTTTATATGCTCCCAATTGTCACTAGAAATCTGGCTCAGAGCCTCCATCAGTACCTACGCCACAGTCTGAAGTCTGTGATGCCTTGAAATTTCCTCTGYTATACACACTTGTTCATCACTTTGAAACTCAGAGAAATGTAGACAAGTCCTTTGCCAAAACGTAACATGAATGGCTAGGGACCAGGTCTTTACCATATGAGTTCTTGGGGGATTTTAAAGATCCAAACCATAATAATTCAAGGTACTCATGAATCTAAAAATATATTATTAAGATTCATGAGTACCTTTCAGTGAGGTCACATGAATGGTTAATTTACCCCTGAATTTCAAGGTAAGGATCCTTGAAAATCCACTGGTCAGGGCCCGAGTGATTCGAAAGTTATCCACAAATGATAAAGTGTTAGAACACACATCAGAATTTGTTTGATATATCACAGAAATCATTACAAAAGCACAACTAGGTTATGAATCCCCAATTCTCTGGAAGATGAACCTATACTTCCCAGCTCTTTAGAACAACAGTTTAAATATCATCCAATCCTGTGCCTTCACTCTTGATTATGATAGTTTATAGGTGGGAACTATCCGGAATTCTTATTCCAGGTATTACTGTATCTCACATTTAAACACCACTGTTGCACAGAACTGTTTCAGGAGACCCTTTCTATAAGTAGGAGACTATTTCCTATTTACAGATTAGTATTCCAAGCAATAATTCATGTGAACCATTTTGAAGAACAAAATAGAGATACCTGAATTATGCTTATGATAGCTTCCTGGAAATGCACCCATTGTCTCAGCTCGACAGTTTCATATATAAATTGAAGAAAATATATGAAAGGAAAATGGCATATGTATCCTGACCTTAGTTCCTGGGCTTTGCACCATTTGAGTAACTAGCAATTTTTTATACTTCCTTTTTATTACCCTCTCAATGTGTCCCTGGTGCATTTTTGCATGTGCAAAATCTAGAACTACAGCTGGCAGAAAGAGCCTGATAAAGGTGTCTCACTATGTCTCAGCTTGGTGATGGAGTAACTGCAGATAGAACCAGAGAGGGAGTCAAATTATGATGCAATTAATGTGTAAGAAGCAGCCATGAATTGTTTTACTTTCCACCAGAGTCTTCAGGAATGAAACTACTCAAATAATCCATTTCATTTCCCATGTGTTGAAGATGTGCCTGGAGTGTACATCTGGAAATAAGATGTAGTTTTCAAAAAAAAAAATGACAGAAATCTTCTTCAGTCTTTGGCTTGTCAAAGGGAATTGGCCTTTCATGAGAAGGCCAATTGAAAGAGAAGGATTGAGGACAGTGGGAGCAATATCAATAGTCAGTAATCAAGGGTAATGATTTGCAGCAGTTCTTTTAGTTCTTGAGTCAACAGATGTTACTAATACTGCCTAGTTATTGTTGTCTGCTGAGTTGGAAATGACAGAATAATTGGCCTCTATGAACAGATGAGGGTCATTGATTTATCAAATGTGTATGGCGCCACTATTACATAACAGACATTGGTTCAGACTCTGGCTAGCATTAGGGGAGCAAACAAGTAAACTGAAGCTTTACTGGGATCTAGAGCACAGGGAAAGGCATGACATATTGATAAGATAGGCCAGAACTTCATCAGAAGAAGGCAGAAAATGTTTCAAGATAAAAATAGGCTGTTGGAGTTTTTCATAATAGAATAATTTTGGTGATTTGGTTTATCAAATTTGTTTGCACATTGCTATGCATTTTTGGAAGTTATGTTTTATTGATGTGGTCACAGTGCAATGTTCTTATGATAATCATGCACAGGAAAAGCTTTGCACAGTTCTTATTAATAGTCTTTTGATTACATTAGAGAAGTGAAGAGCCTGTGGGGGCTTTTGCCACGAAGAAGCTTTAGATCTTCAAGTGTCAAGCATTGAAACTGCTACTCTCCACAAACCCACATTTTAGATTCTCTTAACCTATGGACAGGGTCACAAGGTAAAGAGAACTTCTCTGAACTTAATTCATTATGGACAGAGCCATCACATGCAGTTGAGTGGCCTGTGCCCTACAGAGAAATATGTCTCTGAAGAGGGATATGGGGGCTGAATTCTAGGCTAGACTTGGCATGGGGCTTGCCTTGGGTGCCAGCCCTAGGGAAGGAGGTGGCTTCCTGCTTTTCCTTTACAGGGGAGGACATCGTTTTTTGCATTCACTGATAGGTGTGGCTTTGATAGAGAGGCTCCACTGATCTGTTTCAGATTCTCTTTTGTTTGTTTTAGAAATGATCAAAGTTATCTTCTGATGCCCAATTAAACAATAGAGTACTACATTTGAAAGTCACATTTTATCTTTTTACTTATAACCTGATTTAATCTACAATCATGCTCATGTAACTCCAAGCCAAATGAAAACAATTTTCCTTTTGGGGATGCTTCCCCTATTCACACATAGGTAAATACTGCTCTCAGTTTTCATTTTAAACATCATCTAACAGAGAGGATTTTCTGTTTCCTCAGGTTGGTGAAATCTAGACTTAGGAGGCTCTGCCCCTCAGAAGTTGGACTCCTGAAAAATGTTGAACGAGAACAAGAATCAGAAGAGGAGATGTGATTTTGATGGGCATCTAGTCTATCTAGATAAACCTATTCTCTTTTGCATTGTCTTTGCTCATGGTTTTGTTTTTTTGACCTTTTGTTGGAGATCAACAGGCAGAGGATGACTGTTGTTTGTATTTCTAATTTAGTTAAAGTATTTGAGTTTAAATGTTTTATTTTAGCTTTGAGAATACTTTGGGTGATAAGTTCATTTTGCACAGAATGATATTCAGGGGCTAGAGTGAATTTTCTCACATCATGTATCGTTTGATGCCCATATTATGAAACATATTTGTTTTATGTGCCTTATAGACAGGCTCAAGGTTCCCAGCCTTGCTACCATTTCTAACTTGTTGAACACAGAATTATAAATGTTTATCTTGTTGCTGCAATGAGAGATAAATAAATGCATGTACCTCAAACCCTTGTTTTTGTTATTGAGCTACACCTCACCCTTAGGTGATGCACAAGAAGCTGAATGACACAAAAAATTCCTTTTGGTGACACAGCTCTCTTCGGAGTACCTGAGTCCTCCCCTGGGAAATGTAGATCAGATGTCCTGTTGACTTGTGTGATCTTCCCAAGATGAAAGCTATGGTCCCCAGTACACGTGGTTGCAAGACCACCAGAGACTGGGAAAGGAGAGTTGTGGTGTTGGCTGTAAGAGTAAAAAGTCATTACACCATAGAAGGGCCACCCTGCACCCCCTGGGTTAAAGTAGGAGGTTTCATAGAATACCTGGATCAGAAGTCAGGGTCCTTTCCCAGTTGTGGGCTTCATACCTCTCAATCATTAACCTGCCTCCAGGTATCTAGTAATCGCCATGCCCTCTCTGAAGTGAGGAAATGGAATTGACTGCATCACGGGCCTTTTTCTGGCTGTCACATTGCGTGAATCTCAAAGTGGAAGCATGTGGACAGTGAGAAAGCCCAGTGTCAGTCAGAAAGCCCAGTCTCTGTCATGAGACAAGAAAGGAGGACTGCAGGAGTCCCCAGGAGAGGACTGACCCAAATGTGGAGGAAAGGAGGCAGCCTTGTGGGCAGCTGGAGCTAAACGTGGGCAACTGAATCCTGAGGCCTCCCCTGGCATTCCAGAGCATGTCAAGTGCAGAAGCTGCCCTGTCTGGTACATATCACAGTGGCGCTGAAGACAGAGGTGAGCAGATTCCTCAGGCCCAAGAGCTAGACACATTCATTTTGTTACACAAGGTTTGAAAAGAACAGATGTGGTGCCTAAAGATTTATCTTGAGTAATGCAAGAACACTTAGTGCATGCTGGCATTTGAAATTACCCACATGCCATAGTCCTCTGGGGATCATGTGTCCTGACCCATATGTGTCCAAGATTTCAGGGTGCTCTTCCAGTCCAGCAAGATTCTATGACTGGCAAATTGAGCTTCAAAGGAATGAGTGAGCAGCCAGCCACAGTTACTTTGAGTTGGCATCACTGGTATCTAGGCCTGAGCAGGAACTCTAGGAATAACTGGAATGATTGAGATTAAGTCTCAGCCAGGCATAATGGTGTATGCCTATAATACCAGTGGCTTGGAAGGCTGAGGCAGGAGAATCCCTAGTTGAAAGCCAGCCTCAACAACCTAGCAAGACTCTAAGCAAATAAGTGAGATCCTTTCTCAAAATAAGAAATTAAAAAATGGGCTGGGCCTGTGGTTTACTGATTAAGCACCCCTGAGTTCAATTCCTGGCACACACAAAAAAGTAATTAAGTATGGATTCTTGATCACTGATAAGTGTCAATATTCTAGCGCCTTTATGAAAGAGCAGAAATGTTCATTTTTCAAGTCTCTGCTCTGCACACAGAGAATACAAGAAAGATACAACCCAGTGGGTTSTCAGCTGAGAAACTTTTGATTCAACTTTGAAACCATGGTTTGGGACTGTCTATAGCCCTTGCAATAATCAACAAATTTTAAGACTTATTGTATCTTTATGGTTATATTATTAAATTTGTATTTTACAACTACCATTTTTTGTGGAATGACAAGAAAAATTAGCAAGTAGAGATTACACCCAAATATGAAAGTCTAGAATTTTCTTTACATTGTTCTTGGAGGTCTTTGATCAATAAGTAGACTCTAAAGGTTTAGATTTAGAATTATATGGTTTTTTAAACCATGACACTTTTTTTTTTATACCAGGGATTGAACCCAGGGGCAATTAACTACTGAGTCACATCCCAAGTCCTTTTTAAAATATATTTTATTATAGTGTCTTACTAAGTTGCTTAGGTCCTCACTAAGTTGCCGAGCTGGCTTTGAACTGAAAATCCTTCTGCCTCAGCCTCCCAAGCTTCTGGGATTGCAGGCTGTACCACCATGTCCAGCCCATAACACATTTTATAGCAAAAATATAAAACATTTTCACATCTAGAATGGGATAAGGAAAATCACCTTCAGGCAATGCTTATCAACTCATGGGCACTGATGGGATCATTCAAAGTGGTTTCCATGTGTCACCAGTGTTTAAGAAGCTAGGGACATAGTGATTCTCAGGCCAAAGTTGCTGTCCTCACCAAATATATTCCTATGGGGGGAAAAACAATAGAAAARTCAGAAAAATCTATAATTTGAGGCAATAAATGACGTTTAGATCAATAAAGTTGAGAAGGAGGATCAAGAATGGTTGAGTGGGATAATGACACTTTTCCTTGGCTGGTCCTTTCTCATAGGTGTTTCTCTGACTACCCTAGGGAAAGTAGCATTCCAGCCTATTCCTCTCCATCATTATATGAAATTCTCGTCTTCATATGTTTTCAGAGCCTTTGACTCTGCTGGGGAAGCCCTCCTCAGAGAGCAGGTGTGAATGTGGGTTCCCTTCCATATATTGTATTTTGTCTCAACTCTTCCAATCTCCTGGGGGCTTATTCCTGAGGTTTTGCCACACTTCCTTCAGGGGACTCTCATGCTTTATTGCCATAACCAGAAGAAGAAAGCCTTGCAATAAGTCAGAGCATGATTTCTAGTGCTGTTGTCAGTGCAGCAAAACTGGGGGACATTTTACAAGGCAGATGAAACCCTGCCAGATGGAAAGTCACTGTGATGACATGACACATGACAGTGAGGGGTGGGGGTGACTATACAGCAATATCATCCTTGGCTGTTGTCATGATAACAACTCCCCAGGGCTTTCTGTAGTCTCTGATCTCCTCTGCTTGGCCTGCTTGGCAAGCTCTGATTGCAGCTCATTGTTGAAATGGGATGCTGGAACATGACCATAGTGGCATTCTCCTTATCATTTTATCACCATAGACACTCTTTGATGAAGGGTGTGAGGATTGTGTTTTGAATGTAGATTACCAAGGTGTGGTAGGAATCATAGGGTGTTACAGGAACAATGAAAATAAAAGCWGGGAAGTGAGGAATTCCCCTCCCCAATATAGGGAAATGATTAATAAAAAGTATGAAAGAGAAGCTAATACATGTGGAGAATAAGTCCCTGTAATCTATATTCTGTCTAATGTGAAATCCAGATGGAAAAAAGTGACAGAACAGAGGACAGACGTGAAATAGTATGAAAAATTTCCCCTAAATAAATGTCAAAGAAGGGGAAGTTTTGCATTAAGCTTGGAGACATGCTTCTGAGATATGTGTATTGAATAGAGTGATTTGGTTTCTGGAAAAGCCACTAAAAATTTTTAAATTAATGCATTTGTATACTTTTAAGTTCAATTTTTTAATATTATTATTCTTTATTTTATTTTTGTGCTGTTTGGGATCAAACTCTCTGAGTTACATCCTTAGCTCTATTGTTCTGTTTTTATGTTTAAAAATGCTTAMCATCCAACTTAAGGAAAATTTTATTTGGAGGACACAATTTTAAGCTCAGATAATTAGATTTCCCTTTAAACTTTTCAAATTGGGGTTGGGGCTGTAGCTCAGTGGTGAAGCGTTTGCCTTGCATGTGTAAGGCACTGGGTTCGATCCTCAGCACCACAYAAAAATAAATAAGATACTGTGTGYCCRTCTACAACTAAAAAAATTTTAAAAACACTTCTCAGATTGTATTATGAATTAAATGCTTTTGATATTTTTCTTAAGTACTTTAATTAACTGACAAATTTTCCTAAATTTTCAAGTTATTTTTAAAATAACTTGAAATAACTTATTTATAAGTTTTAAATCTAATTTAAAACTTATAAACAAATGAGGGAAAATTAGACTTTTCTGAAATATTTCAACACCAAATCAATTTAGTGAGATTTCATAAACCTACAAGTCTAAACTTATCATTACCCATTTATAAAATGAGCTTATAAAACTAATCTGAGTAGACAACATAATATTAAAAATTATCGGGCTGGGGATGTGGCTCAGGCGGTAGTGCGCTCGCCTGGCATGCGTGCGGCCCGGGTTCGATCCTCAGCACCACATACAAACGAAGATGTTGTGTCCTCCGAGAACTAAGAAAAAATAAATAAATATTAAAATTCTCTCTCTCTCTGTCCCCCTCTCTCTCTCACTCTCTCTTAAAAAAAAAGAATAAAAATTATTAATGTCTAACACAAAATATCAGTATCACAGCTTTGATTCTCTTATACTCTTAATTCACCGTCTTTTCATGTTAAAATTCGCTCACTGTTTCATGGCCAACAGTGCTGGTGAGGTTAGACTCGGAGACAGTGAATGGGACAGATTCTCAAAAGCCTCCCTAATGACACACCTGACTCCTATTCATAGTTATGCATTAATTTTTCCACACAGGTTGTGTCCCAGCCTTCCTTGCACAGGTCTGTACCTTCCTGAGATGGAGCCATAATTACCTGKTTTTTTTTTTTTTTTCCTGCATGAAAATCTGCAACTCACACCAAGCCATCATGTCGCTTGATAGGTTTCATTATTCTTGATCTCTTAAGAAACAAGTATATCTCCTTTAAAGTGTCAAGTCTTCTGAACTTGATATAATTCTGCCTTTCTTCACATTTATTTCCTAACCTGTAGGACTATTTAATTTTAACAGGTATTAAGGTTATATCCTAATGAATTTTAGGTCACTCTCTCGTCCAGGTAATTCACCCAAGATCTCTGAGACTGCACATCGGTAGTTGTCAACCTGTTCTGACTTGAAGCAGGGATGGCATAGGCTCATTGAATATGTTTCAGTTGTGGGAGGAAGTAGTTCTATGACTAGGGTATTGTTAACAATGGAAGTGACAAAATGCCTCTTGTCTGGGTCCTCATGAACTTGGGCTTTTTTGTCTGGTGTCAAATGTCCTAAAGGTGGTGGGGGTTGAATGTTTTAAGTAAGAAGCTGGAGGTGGAGCCCAAATAATTCYCCATTTGTTGATGGAGCCAAAATATATACACACAGGAATGAGCTCACCCAAGTAATCAAGGGCCTTAGCAAATTTGAATGGAACAAACCCTCTTCTGCTCAGAAGCACAGCCAGGTTCCCTTTGCT